GTAAACACGGAGAAATATTCTGAGGTCAAAAATTCCCCCAACCCAGGGAAAGGAAAAATTAGGGAGCTAGCATTTGATGGGGACAGAGTTCCATTGGGGAAGATGAAAAATTTCTGAAGATGGATGGTGTGATGTGATGGTTGCACTGCAATGGGGATGCAGTTAATGCCTCTGAACCAGGCACTTAAAATAGGTAAATGGTTTAAATTTTATTTTTTGTACATTTTATCAAAAGTAAACAAACATTCTCAATTCTCCACACTCATCTACCCTTGGTGGGGAAGGGAAAGGAATGCAATGGAAGAAACATATCAAGGAGGCATCAGTTGTATGTAGGGTGCTTTATTTCTTAGGCTAGGTGGTGGACACAAAGTTTATTTATTACAAAGTTTCTCTCTCTATATTTCTATGTGTGCAACTGTGTGTGTGGCCTGTTATGCGTGTCAGCACACCTGGATCCAGCTGAGGGTATAAGGGTATGTACTCCGAGTCTGCCTATGGGTCTGGGACATGACCTGCAGCTGTGGTGGCAAAGGGGTTGAGAAGGAGGTGACAAGATGAGGGTCTGATGCCACGGGCCCTAGGTCTGTATATCACTGTGTGCCTCTCAATGATTCATGAGCGCGTATGTGTAAAATCCTCTACTTCACCACCACCTACAACCACATATCAAGCCACAGGTGGCCCCCCTGCTGGCTGCCCCGCCCCGTTCCCAGCTTCAGTGTAATTGCTCATGAAGCACAAGATGTGTGATTAATTATGGCGGCTGAATATGCAAATCAGCTGAGGGTTTTCCCAGCAGCCTCCCGGGTGCCGGTGATGATGCCAAGTAAATACACAGAGCTGAGCATGTGAGGCCTTAGAATTCCCTCCTTACACCTTTGTCAATTACCCTGTAATTTAGCAGGGCCGAGTTTCTAATTCTTTAATGAGCTTTTTAGCTCATTAAAGAGTCCTCATTACACTATTAATTGTCCCTCCCCTCCAAAATACCTATACCAGCAAGGAATTGGAGTTGCAGAAGCTAATACCAGCTGACCTGCATTCAAACCCTGGGCTGTTATTGGATGTAAATCTTGAAATTACGATGGAAATAATTCACTTCAGGGAGAGGATGGCTTGTTGTTTAGCGAAATCATTAGCTCTAGACTCTGGGCAAGTTACTCCCTACCTCTCCATTTCTCCGCTCCCTTATCTGCCAAATGGGGATGGTAACAGAACCTTCCTCAAAGGTTGTGATGAGGGATAAATACATCCATGCAGGGAAAACATCTGAGGAATAGTGTGTGGCATGTAGACAATCAATGGTCATTATCATCATCATTAATAGTGTTCATTGAACTAATCATGGATCATGTGGGCGTGAAGATAGAGTCCAAAAGAAAAGTTGAGGGGATGGTTCTTCATAAGAAAGAGAGAAATTTGATCACAGCATAGACCACCTTTGAGGAAGAGAGTGGAGAGTGTAGGCAAGGAGAGGTGTTAGGGAGGGAAGGTTGGGAGAGGCCAACAGAATGGTAGAAAATCTGGATTTGGGGAGAACACACCTCCCATGACAAATTCACAGCAGTGGGCGCTTCTGAGGATAAGGATACTCAGTAGAAAATTTTTAACTTGTTGATTTTCCTGCAGTGAGACTTCCTGGTTTGCACCCAAGCTTACATGCCGACTTTCAGTAAAATTTGGATTCATTCACTGGATTAGTCATGATAATTCATGATAGCTGCTGTAACAAGCAACTCCCCAAAATCTCAAGGGTTTAAAACAATCAAGTTGCTTCTTGGTCATAGCTAATGGAGGCCTCCTTGGCAGCATTCCTCCAAGTCCAATTGAACCTAGAACAACATGGGATGGGACTGTGTGGGTCCATGTATATGTGGATTTTTTTCAATACATACATATAGTACTACATGATCTGACGTTTGTTAAACCCACAGATTCAGAACTGCAGACACAGAGAGCCAACTTTAAAGTTATATGCAGATTTTTGACTGCATGTAGGTTGGTTTCCCTAACCCCAGATTACACATATAATCTCCAAAGTCATCATGGAATGGGGAGAAAGAACAAGGAGGGCTATGCAGGAGGTTTTATGGCTACTCACGTCCCATTGGCCAAGAACCAGTCCCATGGCCCCAGCCTAACTCCCAGCAAGGGACTCTGGGAGATGTGTTCTCAATTATGTGTACCCAGGAAGAGGGAAATAACACACAGCATTGGTGTTACCACATGCATTCTTGAGTTAAAGATGTTTGATAGAGGAACTAAAAGGAAAGCAGGCTCAGGTCTACATTTGGGTTGACAGACATGAACTCAGGGTGAAGAAATCAGCAAAAGAAGCTTATCTGGAGAATAGGTGACCAAGAGAAACACCATCCCCTTAAGAGCCCTGATTGGTATTTGAGAGTTTCTGGGTTCTTCACTATGTGAGGGATATTTCCTCAAGACTCCATCTGGCTCTTCCCTCACATCCTTCAGGTCTCTGCTCAAATGTCACCTCCTCAGTGAAGCCTCTTCTGACACTAACCTATTTCAAATACCCACCACACTCCATCACTATTTGTGTAACTTTGATTTTCCCTCAACAATTACTACTACTTAAAGTTACGTTATTTAGCTATTTATTGGCGTAAGACCAATTTTCCTCGGAAGTAAGATCCTGAGGGCAGACAGCACATCTTTCTTCTATTCCCAGCATCTGGAACAGTGCCCGGTGCTGAGTGAACACTCAACAGAACTAAACAAATGAATGAGTAAGCAAATAAATGAGTGAACTTATCAATTAACCTCTGGACACCAACATTCTTCATAGAGTTAAGACTCTAAGTGGTATTTATGGAATGAAGGAAGGAATGCAGGGCAAGTATTCAGGTGGCCTTAGAGGGCCTGGTAGCAGAAACTGTAGAATAAGCCCTGGATTTGGGGGAGGCAGCTCACTCCAGCCTGCTGCCTCTACCTACCCACTCTCACCTGACTCAACTTAATTCAAACCAGCCCTCCAACTCTCCTAACTCAACTCAACAATGTCTATCAACTGATTAATGGATAAATAAAGTGCAGGAAATTATTATTCAGCAGTAAAAAGGAATGACATTCTGATGCATGCTGCAACATGAACTATGAAATTATTATGCTAAATGAAAGAAGCCAGACACAGAGGACCACATATGATATGATTCCATTTATACGAAATGTCTAGAATAGACAAACGCATAGAGAAAGATGAGTGGTTTCCTACCGCTGAGAGGTTTGGAGGAGACAGTGAGTGACTGCTAATGGATATGGGGTATCTTTCTGAGGTGATGAAAATGTTTCAGAATGGATTGTGGTGATGGTTGCACAAGCCTATGAATATACTAAAAACCATTTAATTATATACTTTAAATGGGTGGATTATATGGTATGTGAATTATTTCTCTATGAACTGGCTTTTTAAACCCTCAACCCAACATCTAACTCCCAATTCAAGTCACCCCAAACCCAGCTCTCATCTTAGCTAATCCATTTTGACTCATCAAAGTGGCCATCACCACCCCATACTCATAATAACCCCTACTTACCTCTACTTAGTTCATCCTACTTCTTAAATCAGCCCTAATTCTGTTCAACCCAATATCCAATTCCAAACCCTTAACTCAATCCACTCATCATTCCAATCTTCAACTCAACTGACTGAACTCACTTCAAACCAATCTCCAACTCAACTCATCTTCAATCCACCTCAGTGTAATTTACCCTACCCCTAACCGTTAACCTCCAACTCACTCCAAGGATCAACTCCTAACTCAATTCCCTTCACCCCTAACTCACTCCCCTGACTTGCCACTCAGACATTGGACCCCTAGTTATTTTATCTCAGACCAAAACCACATTCCATGTCACCTCTTGAGACATCCCCTTCCCCTTAGTTCAGCCAGTTTGATTCCAGGACTAATCAAGGTCAGTATGGAAATCTGGCTTTTTCCTTTTTTCTTTTTTAAAGTTTGATGTCTTCCTAATAGGTTCACAGTTTTTTCCAGCTTTATTGAGATATAACAGACATCCAACACTGGGTACAGTTAAGGTGTGTAACATGTTGATTTGATACACATATATTGCAGAATGAGTACCAACATAGCATTAGCTAACACCTCCATCATGTCACACATTTACCATTTCTTTTTTTTTTATTTTTTGTCGTGAGAACATTTAAGCTCTACTCTCTTAGAGAACTGACTTACTTTTCAACCTTTTCCTCTAGGAGCCTAAGTTAATAAAACTCACCTCCAGTGAGTCCCACTATAA